CGAAAAGTCATACTCGAGACATTACGGACTAAATTATTTAAACGTGTCGAATTTTTCCCAAAAAGCTCGGACTTTTTTTCCTGAAATTTTAAGGCGCTTGCGAGAAATACGAAAAACATTCCACTTCGCTGAAATTTCGCCGGTAAATCTGGAAATGAGGGAATAATTTTTCGGCGAAGCAACAATAAATATACAGCTGACGGGTTGACGCCCGGTGTGTTAACGAGCAGTATGCAGAAGGCGTCAGTTATCTTTTCCTATCTTCACACCAAAAGGCAGAAGTAGCAACACTTCACATGACACAACTAGGGGAAGTCACGAAGCACAGTCATAATCCGCATAAACAAGCATCATTCATACTGGCGCCACAAGTAGTAGAAATAATTACCTATTAGAGACAGACCTAAAAATAACATTTCAAGATTTTTCTATTCTAAAAACAAAATTAATGCGAGCTGAAAGATTTCCGAAAATTCCGGCAACCAACTATTTATTAATTACAAAAATAATTTTGCTTTGTGAAACAAAATGTGGATGTTCACCAATTTTTTTAGTAAAAATTTTTTCAAAAATCATAAATCTGTGATTGTTGGAAAAAACTTAGTTTAAAAGTTCGGAAATCTTTTTCAAAAAAAAAAGTTCCAAACCAGCCTATCTTATGGCTGAACAAATTTGTACACCAGGCATTCTCACTCATAAATATTGTTATTAGCGGAATCTGCGGCAGGAACGTTACGCGTGTCTTTTCCAGTGTAGGATATAGAATTTTCATTTTTTTTTTTCAAAAGCAGTGTCTAAATAATTTTGTTCTGTGTAATATTGGTAGGCAGCGTGATTTTTTTCACGACGCTCTTCCAAGAACCTGCTGCAACTGCCCTGACCCTGTACTGCTTCCACTCGAAAAATCTCGACCGGGCTGCTGGAATCACTACAAGTTTAACTAATATTCCAAAGATCTGATCAAAACGGATGACTGTACTCAGCGATTGTTTCAAAGAATTTGCGGCGTTCACTGACGGGAACAATAATCGAGCGGCGCAACTCGCTAGCCGGATAATCGGTAGCCATTTCGCTCACCGGTATTGCCGGATTGCTATGGAAGCGAACGTCTGCAAATTCACATAGCACAAACTCTTACAGGAAAACAACGAAGAAGTGTTTCAGTGAAGAAGGAAAAGAGGAGTAGCGAAAGAAACAGTACTGCGGCGCATGAACAAAACTTCATTGATGACATGTCACCGTAAGGAAGCAAATCGGCTAAAGTAATATTCATTTATGAGACAGCATGGAAAGTGAGGAGGAATGGACTACAGGTCGGGAAAAAGCAGTGACGAACGCATACTCTGCAAGGAAATCATGACTGAAGCGTCCCTATTTCAAGAAAGCAATAAATTCGGCTCAGTTAAACAGCTGAACGCGCCGATGGATACAGTCCACCAACTAATGCTATTTTCCTGAATAAACAATCATTGGCGACGCGCACTAGGCGAGCCCACGCGATCTTGCGTTTTCACAGTATTTCATGTTGCATAAAGATCGCTTGGAATCACAACAAGTAGAATTTGCGACATTCTGGTCCTCAAACTTCACGAAGTTATTGTGCAACTACCACATGGTACTTGGAAAGGGAATATTCTGTTAAAATTTCAGCTTCACTGGTTCTTGAGTTAACGATCTTCCCGCCAGAAAATCTCACGAGGCCATACGTGAGTATCACGTGTAAGTGGGGGCTGAATCTGAGTTGTGTGTGGGCCGGGAATATCTTCTGAAAACTTCAGCCTCCTAGCTTTTCTGGTTCCCGAGTTAGTGGTTTTTCCGCAAAAACTTTCACATGATCGTACGCGGGGCTCAGACGTGCCTGGGAGTTGGTGCCGCTGTCCTGGGGTGGCACTTGGCCGGGGATCCCACTGGCAAGATTTTGGCGCCGGACTTGCTTGGCTGCAGATTTTGAAATAATCGGACAAATGCACATACATACATACATACATACATACATACATACATACATACATACATACATACATACATACATATAAATAAGTTATACGTACATACATACACATATACATACACACACACACATACATACATACACACATACACACATACATACATACACACCGGGGTCGTCACAACATGCGTTTTTGCTCGCTGTAGCAGCGTTCTGCA